AATTCACTTTTATAATTAATATCTTCATTGCATAATTTCTAAGTACTTCCAAAACTATGATTGAAAATCTATTATTATCACATAAATTAAATCAACAGATATTCTCATTTAAATAGAAACTTAATTGCAAATATCTGATTACATAAAAGTTTTTTTAGTAATAAATTATATTCTGCTCAGACTAACTTTTTTTAATTTTATATATATGTTCATGTATTGTACAAAAAAAAAAAAAAAAAAAAAAAATATTCACGTTAAATTTGGCATATTAATTTTTATTAAGACTTGTGGAACTACTCTGATATGCGCCCTCAAGTCGCCAAAAATGTTTGGCGAGAAACTCCACGCTGCCATATTGCTATCTAAATTTTTTGTCCGCATTTCGAATTTTAAGCCTAAATTGTCTCCATAAACACGGTTTTTGAAAATGCAAAAACCACATTTTGAACACAGAATTTAAGATAAAAATCCGAAACAAAAACAAAAAATTTAGATAGCAAAACCGTAAAGTTTTTAACCAAAATTATTTGACAAGAGTCCATGTACACAGCGATATGTTTTACCTTAAAAAAAATCTACGCCTCATTTAGTAAAAAACGAATCTAAAAACTACGCACACCTCACTTTAATAAATTAACATAACAATAAATTTAAAGACTACCATGTACACACCCTTTCAACCTTAAAAAAACATCTACGAATGCCAATTTGGAACAAACGAATCTACGAACTAGCACACCTCACTTTAATAATTAACATAACAACAATATTTCAAAGAATACCATGTATACAGCGTTCGTTTCAACTTTAAAAAACATCTACGAATTGCACAATTTAGACGGTACGCACTAATCAACAAAAACCTAAAATAAATTTCAAACAATTCAAAAAAACAACAATAATTTACAAATAGAACAAGAATAAAATAATGAACCATGAATTAGCTTTTTTGACCAGAAATACAATCTCATACCGCCAGTAATGACTATGGTATTTATAGACACCATCACACTCCAGAAAAATCCACTAGGGTTCACAATAAAAAAATAACAAATAATCACAAATCCCTACTTCTATCATGCCAGCCACTAAAATCTCAGACCCTCTTTCACACCTCCAAATACCCCTGCCCTCAACAGGATGGCCACGATGATTTTCCTTTGCCGAACTTCAATTCAACAACTCCACCATTTTCTTTCCCCCCTAGCTTCTCAACACAAAGCATGACGCGAACCAACGACTCCCGCGAAAGATTTTTCACTCAACAGGGTTGAAATTAAATTGCCATACAACACGCAATCACACCAAAAACAGCGCAGAACACTATTGCCACATTTGGTGATTAGGGGATATCAGAGTTGTACCAGAGGCTTTTGTGCTTCTTAGAACTCAACTTTCTTGCATGTAACCCATAACAAGAACCAAGAAACATATTATTTATTACTCAATGCTTTTCAAGTGATATGCAGCTGATCAGCAGCCAAACGAATAAGCAGCTGAAGTCTGGTAGTTTGGTTAGCCAAGAAAATGAGCTAGTTGCATGATCGTTTTCATGGTATTCCCAATATGTAACATGGATTCAAACCAGTTCCTCTCAGAAAGACCTCCTTGAAGGCATCCTTCCTCTTAGGCAGATATCTCTCCCATGCTTTGCCATAATTTAAGGAAACCAAATCCAACTGATGTATGCTGCTAAAAATTTGATTTAAAGGTCCACATTTAAATTAAATATTAATTGATAATTTAATAACATTAAAATTAACATTATAAATGCGATATTGAATTAGATCATTTTAAACGCATATATATTATTACATTATTTGCATATATTTATTATAAAATTTAAATGTATATTTTATTATTAATATATTTATGGTAAACATTTCTTTTTTGATTCTAATTTCACTTTTAAACTTTCACATAATTTTATCAAAGAAGTCTTTTGAAATTTAGTCACAGTTTCGCTCAGTTAAATCTGACAGTGTAGTCACAGATGCAACACAAAAAACTATGTCAAATATCAGTCACTAAAGATGTATGGATTAGGTATTCTCATGCCATCTATTTTGTTTATTTCATACTTATAACTGCATAAGAAGACTTACCTGAAACAAATGTTGTGTCACAAGCAGTGACATTGAGATGTTTATTTACACGTAACTGAGAAGCACAGCACAAATTAATGTTGTAATTGTTAAAGAAAGTATCCTAGTTTTAAAAAAGCTTTGTTGCATGTAATGTGAAATTAATTACTTTATCATTTTAAGAATAAGAAGGGTTTATGTGTTCAATATGCAAAGCCTGTGAGGGCTAGCTGAAAAAAGCATGCTTTTGTGAATATTTTCTAGGGTAAATACACTCATATTTACATCACTTCAGGAAAACCATGAAAATGCTCATAAAAAACATGCGAAAAATCACATAAAAAACTCTGCACAGCCAGCTCGTTCATCAGGATTTGAGCCGAGATTGAACTACTAGTATTCAACCGTCTTAACCACTCATAGGACAAATCTTAAGAAAATGCTTATAATGTCGTGTAATGAAAAGTTAATGGCAAGAATCTGCTCCTTTCCACCCTTTTTTTAAGTGTTTGGTCATGGTATTATTCATTATGTATACTTTCTATAATTCATATTGAATACTAATACAGTCAAAAGTCATTAATTCGGACACCCATAATCAGGAATTATCTATAATCCGGACCTCAAAGCTAAAAACTTTCTGAGCCAGCGCCAGCGTTGAACCCCAAACTTTACGTCTGCGCATATGCGCGGCGCAAGTGCAGAACGTTTCGCATGCGCGTTTATGTATAACGGCGGTATAACTAAAATTATCTAATTATCTATTCAGTTAATGTTGATAATTGCGTTGTTCCTATTTCGAATTGGATCCGGCTTATTTTTGCAGCCGGTAAGAACATCTATAAAAGTAACTTGAACTTTCGATTATGTCACTAGAATTTCCGTTCTGGAGCTCCCAAGGATCTACAAAGAAAGTATGATTCGATGTCATCAAACAAAAGTGGAATTGCTGCAAAAAATTGATAAAGACTAAGATGTGAAGCGAGTTAGTGATACGAAAAATTTCGATTGACCGTTAGTCGGTTTTCTCGCCACAATTAACGGGCTTGAACAGGGAACTTTGTAACTGACAAGAAATTACTCTGTTTATAGAATTAAAGAGAAGATAACAAACGAACACTAAACAACTTAATTGAAGAAATGTTTATAAGTAAAAATAAATTAAGCTTTTTTTTTTTTGTAAATTTTGATACCTTTAGATCATAATTGTTCTTTATTCATAAATACGGTTTCATATTTTAATTTAGATTTCTGATGCCATCTTACATTTAATGAATCTATAACCGAAAATCGATTATCGGAGGAATCGCCCACAAGTCCGTAAATTAACACTTTTGATGTGTCTCTATTAAAAGTGCGGTTTGTTTTTTTTTTTTTTGTTTTTTAAGTGTTTTCTAGTTGATAATCTAAAAATTGTATCTGATAATTAGTATAATAGGTATAAATACAAAAGACGCATATAATAAATTTCCCAAAAGCCACAACTGCATATTTATATCATTCTAAAAGTGGCGAAATAAGTTTCAAATAGCAAGAAATGCGAGATTTCAAACAATCATTCAGTGATAGTCTCATTTCAGTAAGAACCATCTCCTGTAATAAATGAATGCATGACTTTTAATTCATCCATTTTGCATAAACAATTTTTCAATTTACTTGCAAACAGCTTAAAACATTTTATGTTGAACCAACTGCCTGTCTTTTTTTAATACATTTAGCAATACCAATAATCTTCAAGAGTACTGAAATTTTCTTCAGTAGTATTGTTAATAAAACTAGAACTTATTATTTTTCATTTGTACTTAGATTCATTACACAAGTATTGGTTTGCTAGTTTTGATGACTTTGGGGATCCATAAAAATATTCTGTCACTTTAGAATCAATAATATTTTTTATTTCAATTTAATCATCTAATTGTGTGTCACACCTGCCATCTTCTCAATTATTATTAGCAATGCATTAAAAATATACTATCTTGTTAAAATTTAAGCCTTAAATATTTTTTTTTCATTAGTTTAGATCACAATAACCAATAAGAAAAACGGTACATAATTAAATATTTAAAATGCATATTTTGACGGCCCACGAAATCAAAACATTTTTAGTGTTGGAAACCTCACGGTTCTGCGCTACATTTACAGCCGTGTTAGGAATTATCATTCACCTCCTCATACCATATTTTCTTCCATGAACCAGCATGCCATCGAAAACTTCTTTAATTATATGAAACTACTTCTATCTATTCATCGTTAAAAATTCATAAAAAATAGTAATAAATAAGTGAAGAATAATTTAATCAGCAAATCTGAACAACGAGGATCAACAAAATCAACGTAAGAGAGGAATGGTTGTAACTGTCGAACAAGTGAATAGGTTGAATCTGTTGGGTTACCAAGTTTGAACTATTATCGCCAATATTGGCGATGTTTACATTTACCAGGTTCTTTGCGAAAGTGCTTCCCATTTATTATATAAGTGTTTTTTACTTTCTGGGGAACAGGTTTCCTAAGACATCCTATTTTAAAAAAGCTTTCTTATATACTTTATGCATATGGGATTTTTGACAGAGCTTAATATAATGTACTTAAAAGTTACAGCATGCTTATGGTGATGAAATACTTAACTGTGCTTCAGAATTTCAATAGCATTTTAGTGAAAATATAAATGAAAATAAATACCTAATATTTTTTAATGAAAACATTCCAAATTTTCCAACAATTCAAATGAAATTCAGCTCATGAGAAATCCGAGATCCACAGAGTTGCTCGATTCAAAGATAATTCCTAAACTTTTCGGAGTATGAATATGCTACTTTAATCATTTCATAGCTAGTTAACTATCAAGCATAGAGATATGCGGCTTTAAAAATCAGTAATAATTTAAAATGACTTGTGAATATCTTACAAACATGAGACTTTTTCTTGTTGAAATGAATAAATGATTTATTACGATAAAATGACAGATTAAACTCATCTTGTACAGAGACATTTCTTGGCTGCGTGAACAAGCCTTATTATGCAGAGCAGTGCAGGCCCTTTTTCATCTAACATTTCCACAAAAGACAAAAGCATTCTATTCTCTATGGATATGTAAATTCAAACACTTTTTCATCCAAGTGATTAGTTACACACGTAACTCATGGTGTTTCCCTCCTCTGTGAAAAAACATATGCTTGTTTAAGGAAATGTTCTCTCTAAATGAGTTGCTTCACATCAGATTTCTTACATCTGTAAATAAGCATACAGTAATTTTAAGTTCATCTTTCAGGTAAAAGAGATGTTACCTCCCATGCACGCTAGCATATGGCCATACACCCGACACTTTTCAGCGAATGACCTGTTATATATCTCTCACACGTGAAGTTTTTTTCTTGTGTGGATAAGCAGATGGTTTTTCAAATGATCTTTACGCTTAAAAGATTTGCTACATACTTCACACATATGAAGTTTTTTTCCTGTGTGAATATACAGATGGTCTTTCAAATGATCTTTACGACTAAAGGATTTGTTACATACTTTACACATGTGAGGTTTTTCTCCTGTATGAATAAGTATATGCTTCTTTAATTTATCCATTAGTCTAAATGACTTACTACATATCTCACACACATAAGGTTTCTCTCCTGTGTGAATAAGCATATGTTTGCTTAAATTACCCTTTACTCTAAATGATTTACTACATATCTCACAAACATAAGGTTTCTCTCCTGCGTGAATAAGCATGTGCTTGTTTAAAAAAACCTTTGCTGTAAATGATTTACTACATACCTCACACACATGAAATGCCTCTCCTGTGTGAATAAGTATATGAGTTTTCAAACTATATTTACGTCTAAAGGATTTGTTACATACCTCACACATATGAGGTTTCTCCCCTGTGTGAATAGGCATATGTATTTTTAAACCAGACTTATACTTACATTTTAAGCTGCATACTTCACATATGTGAGGTTTTCCCACTGTATGAGTACGCATATGCTTGTTTAAAGCATCCTTTAGTCTAAATGACCCGTTACACACCTTGCACACATGAGATTTCTCTGAGTGAATAAACATATGGCTCGTTAATTGAGACTTTAATGCAAATGATTTCCTACATACGTTACACACATGAGGTTCCTTTTTTATGTGAATTAGCATATGGTTGCTTAAATCACTCTTTTGTCTACATGTCTTGCTACACAGCTCACACACATAAGGTTTCTCTTCTGTGAATAAGCATATGCCTCTTTAAAACAATTTTTGACGAAATGACCTGTTACACACTTCACACATATGGGGTTTCTATGCATGTGGTTTTTCAAATACTGTTTAAGACTAAATGATTTGTTACATACCTTGCACACATGAGATTTCTCGCCTGTGTGAATATGCATATGGTTTTTTAAACAATTCTTCCACTTAAATTTTTCTCTACATACTTCACATATGTAAGGTTGTTCTCCTGTGTGAGTAAGCATATGATTTTTTAAAACGTTCTTGTGTCTAAATGATACATTACACACCTCGCACACATGAGATTTCTCTCCTGAGTGAATAATCATATGGCTCGTTAATTGATTCTTTAGTGCAAGCAACTTATACTACTGGAACAATGAGGCTTCTCTCATGAGTGATTACATAGGGTTCGTTAGTTGATACTTTCGTTGCAAAAGACTTATACATACCTCAACATGAGATTTCCCTCGTGAATTAGAATGCCTTTTTAAAACATTCATGCACTTAAATTTTGGGCTACATAATTCACATATGTAAGGTTTCTCCAGTGTGTGAGTAAGCATATGCTTGTTTAAAGCCCCCTTTTGATTAAATGATGCGTTACACACCTCGCACACAAGAGATTTCTCTCCTGAGTGTATAAGCATATGCTGGTTTAAAGGACCCTTTTGTCTAAATGATGCATTACACACCTCGCACACATGAGATTTCTCTCCTGAGTGAACAAGCATATGACTTGTTAACTGACTCTTTAGGGCAAATGACTTGCTACATACCTCACACCTATGAGGTTTCTCTCCTGTATGAGTAAGCATATGTCTTTTTAAACGATTCATCCACTGAAATTTTGCGCTACATACTTCACATACGTGAGGTTTCTTCCCTGTGTGAGTAAGCATATGGTTTCTTAAACCATCCATCGTCTTAAATTTTGCACTACATACTTCACATATATGAGTTTTCTCCCCTGTGTGAGTAACCATATGTTTTTTTAATTCATATCTCCCCTTAAATTTTGCACTACATACTTCACATATGTGAGGTTTCTCCCCTGTGTGAGTAAGCATATGTGTTTTTAAATTATTGATTCGTTTAAAGTTTGCGTTACATACTTCACATGTGAGAGGTTTCTCCTCTGTGTGAGTAAGCATGTGATTTTTTACAGCAATCTTGCGTGTAAATGATACATTACACACCTCGCACACAAAAGATTTCTCTGAGTGAAAAAACATATGGCTCGTTAAACTATGCTTTAGTGCAAATGACTTGTTACATACCTCACACATATGAGGTTTCTCTCCTGTGTGAATAAGCATATGTCTTTTTAAATAACTCATCCACTTAAATTTCGCACTACATACTTCACATATGTGTGGTTTCTTCCCTGTGTGAGTAAGCACATGCTTGTTTAAAGAATCCTTTTGACTAAATGATGCATTACACACCTCGCGCACATGAGATTTCTCTCCTGAGTGAATAATCATATGGCTCGTTAATTGATTCTTTAGTGCAAACAACTTATTACATACCTTACACATATGAGGTTTCTCTCCTGAGTGATTAAACATATGGCTCGTTAATTGATACTTTCGTGCAAACGACTTATTACATACCTCACACACATGAGGTTTCTCTCCCGTGTGAATAAGCATATGTCTTTTCAAAACATTCATGCACTTAAATTTTGCATCACATAATCCACATATGTAAGGTTTCTCCAGTGTGTGAGTAAGCATATGCTTGTTTAAACCCCTCTTTTGACTAAATGATGCGTTACACACCTCGCACACATGAAATTTCTCTCCTGAGTGTATAAGCATATGCTGGTTTAAAGGACCCTTTTGTCTAAATGACGCATTACACACCTCACACACAGGAATTCTTCTCGAGTGAACAAAAAATATGACGTGTTAACTGATACTTTACGGCAAATGACTTGCTACATACCTCACACCTATGAGGTTTCGCTCCTGTGTGAGTAAGCATATGTCTTTTTAAACTATTCATCCACCGAAATTTTGTACTACATACTTCACATATATGAGTTTTCTCCCCTGTGTGAGTAACCATATGTCTTTTTAATTCATTTCTCCCCTTAAATTTTGCACTACATACTTCACATATGTGAGGTTTCTCCCCTGTGTGAGTAAGCATATGTCTTTTTAAACCATTGATTCGCTTAAAGTTTGCATTACATACTTCACATGTGAAAGGTTTCTCCCCTGTGTGAGTAAGCATATGATTTTTTACAGCAATCTTGTGTCTAAATGATACATTACACACCTCGCACACAAAAGATTTCTCTGAGTGAATAAACATATGCCTCGTTAAATGATGCTTTACTGCAAATGACTTGTTACATACCTCACACATATGAGGTTTTTCTCCTGTGTGAATAAGCATATGTCTTTTTAAATGATTCATCCACTTAAATTTCACACTACATACTTCACATATGTGTGGTTTCTTCCCCGTGTGAGTAAGCATATGCTTGTTTAATATCAAGTTTAATATCAATAACTAGTCAAAAGTATCCTTTTGACTAAATGATGCATTACACACCTCGCACACATGAGATTTCTCTCCTGTGTGAGTAAGCATATGCTTGTTTAAAGGACCCTTTTGACTAAATTATGTATTACACACCTTACACACATGATATTTCTTTCCTGAGTGAATAAACATATGGCTCGTTGATACTTTAGTGCAAATGACTTGCTACATACCTCACACATACAAGGTTTCACTCCTGTGTGAATAATCAGATTTCTCTCCCACGTGAATAAGCATATGCTAATTTAACGAAAACATTAGTGTAAATGACTTATTACACATATGAGGTTTATCAGCAGTGTGGGTGAGCATGTTTTTAATTACCTTTTTGACCAGATGATTTGTTACATAACTTTCACACACCTAAGATTTTTCTGCTGCACGAACAAATGCACTGTCATATAAATCACGCTTTAGGCTAAATGGTATGTTACATACTTCTCCGCACACGAAATTTCTCTTCTGTGTGAACAAGTTCGTATGATTCACTTTTTTGTCTAAATAATTCACTGTCTAGGTCATATATGTCAGATTTTTCTGTTAGATGTACAGGTATTACTTCTTTTAAAATGTTTCTTTTTCTACATGACATTTTATATATGTTCAAGACATGAAATTTCTTTCCTATATAGAGAAGTATAAGCTGACATCTCTGATATCATATAACTCATTCCATAATTTACAATGCTGTTCGTGTTTGGCACAAATGTAAAATGGTTTGGCTTACAAAAAATTTAAGCCTTTAAGAGTTATGGATGTAAATTTCGCACAGATAGATGGCTTTCAATTTGTTCCATTTAAAAATTTCCGCCAACTCTGGATTGATTCTATTTCTGCTCGGATGTCTATAGGAACAAAGTGAATAAAAGTAGAAAGTAACAGTCTCACTTTGGAACTACCATTAAGAAGCTATCACTTATTCATGTTATCTTGGAAAACGTTAGGATATCAGGGCCAAACCTGCAAAGCTTGGAGAGTTCAAAGGAGATGTTGCATGCTTTATACAACTTTCATTATCTTGTCCAAATGTGTTTATAAAAATCGTATACAACAAAAATGTACATCTCATGATTTTCAGGAAAACTTGATGAAAATAAGTTTGTTATGTTCTGCAAAAATAAGATTTCTTGCCATATAGAGATAAAGCTTTATGAATTTATGCAATCACGCCATATATGGTATTTCACCAACTATATGAAGTTTTGATTTTTCTGGAATTAATCAGCACAGAAGTTGCTTATTTAAAACTGCGACACAGATTCCACATTTTAACCATACACAATCCGCAAAATATTTCTTTGCAGCGAAAAAAAAACACCATATTAGTTTGTAACAAAATTGGTAGACTCAGTATTTAAAAAATAACACGATTCATAATAATGCAATTTTAAAACTAGCAGATTGTTGCCAGATGATTGGAAGTGTCTACAAGTACGAGGTCGGACGGTTAGCTCAAACATGGTAAAAATGCTAAACGTACGACTAGTTGCGCAGACATCTGCGCATCAACATGCCTTCAATGTGCCATGTGAATCTAGCGCCATTTTGTTTTCGAACGTGGTCGGATGGATGGTTGCTAAACGATTAGCGGTCATCTTCTTTTATTCAGTACAAACCCACAGTAATAGCCTTATTAGCACTCTCAGACACTCCCCGCATCCCAGTGAAAAACATCGGTACCCTTGTGACATCCTACCGACATAAGAATTACAACCTTAATTGACTCATTCACGCTTAACCGAATCTGTGGTCTACCACCCGCTACTACATCTTGTAACGACACTTAACTTACCCCCCCCTTTTCGCCGCCGCTTGCGCGGACCTGACTCTCTTTTTCGCCTCCTACCACACTACTCCTCTTCTCCTTCTTCCAGATTCTTATCAGAAGTCGAGTAAAAAGATGTTTCTACATCTTGACACTCGAGAATCAAATACGATCTGTGTGTGTTTTGCATATGGTTCTAACGTTCTTTGTCTGCTACTGTTTTTTGAAAAATTTATGAAAATGTTGGGAACGAAAATAGCTAAAGTTACGTTAATTAAATTAATATATACCTTTGTCTTATGTTATGGATCTTTTGCTGTTGTGTCTCAGGATGCAAGCAATATTACTTTGCACTTCATGCTAAATACCTTGATACGAAGCATCTTAACACTGTCCTTCCTTTTTCTTCCAGTATCGCATTTATTCAGCATTACCTAAAACACATCTGTGAGACACTATTTATTGTACATGAACACGGCTTCCTCTCCTTTTGACTACACTCATGGACACAACCGTATTTTTTGGATATTTCTACTTCTTTTCCTCTTATATCTGTAGGCCCTTCTTTTTTTCCTTTCTTTTTAGCCTCAACAGTTTTCTGAGCCATTTATTTTAAATTTTATTTTGCCCCATCTTTTCTTCCTGGCCTTTTGAACTCGTACAAAATTCCATTTTACTCTCCTCTGAAATATGAAATTGCCCCATTTCTATATACCTTTCCTGCGCACCACGGAATACAAAGGCCCGTTTACACTAGCGGAACTTTGGTCCCAAGAAGCGTAAGCTAACGTCCTAAAAGAATAAGGAGTACCTTCACCTAAGCAGGATTTTTGCACATCGGTGCGAAAGCTAGGGGTGCAAAAAAGACATTTGTCTCTGTCTAGCAATACATTCGGTCGCCGCTTTTTCGGATGGCCCAAACTGTCCTTTTACTATCGATAGGCAGCTTTTTGCCACCGATAATGAAATGGCCGTTGTTTATCGATTACGAAGGTTTTAATGTTTGGATTCGTGTATAAACTTTGTCAGAAGGAAAATTAATATCGCGAAACCTTGCAATTTAAAGGAATACTTTGC